TCCTGCACTGCCCACCCTCCCATGCCCTCCATGTTCTGTGTCTCAGGCCTGTACCCTTTCCGTTTCCCTTTAGGGCACAGGTCGAGGGTATTACTTTTAAAAGAAGTATTTGCATTTTTTCATTCTTAGAGGTGCCAAAAGGTAGATCTGTAGCATACAAGTTTGACAGGGTGAGAAAAGAAGTTAAGGTCCTCCCTAATACACAGGTAGATGCTACCCACTCATAAGTCCAGCTCTGGAAGGATGCCCTTACACCACAGGAGGAAATATGGCTGCTTGCCGAGCTGTTCACCTCAGCATCTTCAGTAGGATGAGCTCTGTATCAAAGAATCCTGAAACGTTTGAAGAGAGAAGAGGGTACACAGAATAGTGGGGAGAGAACATAGGTACTACAAGAAATGACTAGAGATCCTGGGAAGTTCAGCCCAAAAAAGAGATTCTAATTCAACACACGTTTATGGGGTCCCATTTACGTAAGTGCAGAGTTTCGTGGCAAATGCGGGGCAAAGGTGTCTGCAAGATGCCCAGGAGGAGACAAAGCAGCTGTTTTCAAATACTACAAAGGACTCTCAAGTAGAAGAGGGGAAGGGGTGGGAAAGGGGAAAGGGAGCTAGCATTTATTTTTTTTATTTTATTTTTTTTTTGAGGAAGATCAGCCCTGAGCTAACATCTGTGCTAATCCTCCTCTTTTTGCTGAGGAAGACCGGCTCTGAGCCAACACCTATTGCCAATCCTCCTCCTTTTTTTCCCCCCCAAAGCCCCAGTAGGTAGTTGTATGTCGTAGCTGCACATCCTGCTAGTTGCTGTATGTGGGATGCGGCCTCAGCATGGCTGGAGAAGCGGTGCGTCGGTGCGCGCCCGGGATCCGAACCCGGGCCGCCAGTAGCGGAATGCGCGCACTTAACCGCTAAGCCTCGGGCCCGGCCCCCCGGGAGCTAGCATTTAATGAGCGTTTCCTATTTTAGGAACTTGACGTGTAGTGTGTATTTAATGTGCATTGAAATCCCCAGACAGTGGGCCCACAAGCAGGGGGCTGAGCAGTCCTCTGTCCTCTATCTTTACCTTATACCTGTCCACCCACGTTGAGCAGTATTTTCTGCTTCGGAGAAAGTAAAGACATTGACTTCAGGGTACAACTAGTGGTCTGGTCTCATCAGGTGCCCACCAGTTAAACTCGCATGCCCACAAGTAAGTGAAGGCTAATGCATGGCTCCAATCTATGGAAATGTTGAAGCAGAGGGAGTCTGATTTCCTCTCTATCAAGGACATTGGTCAAGGGATTCCAGCAATAGGTGGGAAGCGTAGGCTCTAGAATTAGAAAGAATCCCAGTTGTATGCTTTCCTGGTTTTGGCAGTTACTTCATTGCTTTGAGCCCTCATTTCTCCAACTGTTTGTGGGTCATAATAAAACCTTCCTAATGCAGCTATTGTAAGGATGAAACAAACACATATAAAGAAGCTAACATATGATAGGTACTTGATACATGCTCCCTACCTTTGAGGCTCAAGGTTTCTAAACCTCTTCTCTGTGATAAAGAAGATGCATTGCAAACCTCCTCCCTGAAGCTAGCAGAGGCAAAAAGGCCTACCACCCCCCTGTCTAAAATGCCAAATTAAAGCTGGCTCTTTGTATTATGGCTTAATTATTGCTGTTTTTAGTTGTAGTTTACAAAGTATTTTTCATGGACCTTCTCTTCCCTTAATGCTACCCGTAGGCCTTATCAGTCATTTATACCACGGTGTGAATGAGTTTGACGTACTTCCTCTAAGAGCCATTTTTGAGAGGAGGGAGAAAAATGGCACCAGATTCCCAGGGTCTGGGGGAAGACCAACTTCACAAATTTGAAGGACTGATGAGTCCTACATATCTTCTGCCGTCTCTTTAATGCCCCCTTTTCCCCACGCCTTAACAACATGCAAAGCTTTTTACAAGAGAAAGCAAGGCCAAATGCACACTTTCTAATAAAGCAGAAACAATTGCTTTGGATAAACTTTGAGCAAAAGCATGTATATTTATTGGTTTAAAAACTATTGTGTTTGTGCAGAAACTTCTTGTTTACACATCCCCAAAAAAACCTCAGCAAACCTGAAGATTATAATCACAATTATAGATTTCATCAGGGTTCGCTTTAGAAAAATAAAGGTACAGTATAGATAGAAATCAAACCTTTCAGGAAATGCTTGGCTTTAGGAGAAGGTATAAAGTTTAATTTTTCCAAGTACAATATTAAGATATTACTTCTTTGGCCCCCACCTTGAATACTAGGGCGACACACGCTACTAGCTGCATGAGTAAAAAGAACAGTGAATGGCTGAGAGCAACTTCCACTTACTCACCCCAGACGGGATGGGATTATGAAACAAGTTCTTGTTAAGAAATAAAGAGTTTTAACTTTTTCCGTTGCAAAATGGATTCACTTCCTCCTCTGTGTTTTCTGCAGAGCACTAAGAATTGTGACCAAATTTGCTTCACTTCTCTGGACCTTAAGTCACACTGGGGCTCAAGTCAGTCTGTGGTGACAACCACTCTTCTCTTTGGGACCAGACTGCCAAGTAAGAGAAACCCGAGGATTTCTGTGGGCGGTTATCCAGCAAGCAGCCACTGGAATCAGAAGAATCTTGCGTTTTTATTCTCTCTTTTCCTTAGAGCTCCCCCTAACTAAGTCCCGTGGGTGAAGACAAAGAGCTCAAGAAATTGTCCATAACTCCTTGAAAATACTGGAATGAGTCAGGTCAAAAGAGGCTCTCAAAGACCAGAAAACTTATGACTCTCACTCATTTTACACTGGTTCAATTTTTTGAGCTCATATTCATTTCTCAATCTTGGCTTATTCTCCTAAATTGATATGTATTTATCCAAAGCAAAGGGCTTTTTTAAATTTATTTATTTATTTTTGGGAGGAAGATCAGCCCTGAGCTAACATCCGTGCTAATCCTCCTCTTTTTGCCCAGGAAGACCAGCTCTGAGCCAATCCTCTTTTTTCCCCAAAGCCCCAGTAGATAGTTGTCTGTCATAGCTGCACATCCTTCTAGTTGCTGTATGTGGGACGCGGCCTCAGCGTGGCTGGATAAGCTGTACGTTGGTGTGCGCCCGGGATCCAAACCCGGGCCGCCAGCAGCAGAGCGGGCGCACTTAACCGCTAAGCCACGGGGCCAGCCCAGGGCTTTTTTTGTTTGTTTGTTTTTCTTGTGAGGAAGATCAGCCCTGAGCTAACATCCGTGCTAATCCTCCTCTTTTTGCCCAGGAAGACCGGCTCTGAGCTAACATCTATTGCCAATCCTCCTCCTTTTTTTTTTTTCCCCAAAGCCCCAGTAGATAGCTATACGTCACAGCTGCACATCCTTCTAGTTGCTGTATGTGGGACGCGGCCTCAGCATGGCCGGAGAAGCGGTGAGTCGGTGCGTGCCTGGGATCCGAACCCAGGGCCGCCAGTAGCAGAGCGCGCGCACTTAACCGCTAAGCCACGGGGCCGGCCCGGGCTTTTTTTTAATTGAGGTATAATTGACATATAACATTATATTAGTGTCAGGTGTACAACATAATGATTTGATATTTGTGTATATTGTGAAATGATCACCACAGTAAGTCTAGTTAACATCCAAACATACGTAGTTATAAAATTTTTTTTTCTTGTGATGAGAGCTTTTAGATCTACTTTTTAGCAACTTTTAAATATGCATTACAGTATTATTAATTGTAGTCACCATGCTGTGTATTACCAAAGAACTTTTAATGTACAAAGTTTATGGGCAATTCTCTATAACCCTAAGAAAAATGAAATTATTTATACCTGGAGTAGGGAATCTTTGAGCAATTTTTTTTTTAAAGCAAGTTAAGGGCCGGCCCTGTGGCTTAGTGATTAAGTGCGCGCGCTCCGCTACTGGCTTCCCAGGTTTGGATCCCGGGCGCGCACCAACAAATCGCTTGTCGGGTCATGCTGAGGCGGCGTCCCACATACAGCAACTAGAAGGATGTGCAGCTATGACGTACAACCATCTACTGGGGCTTTGGGGAGAAAAAGAGAAAAAAAAAAGGAGGAAGATTGGCAATAGATGTTAGCTTAGGGCGAGTCTCCCTCAGCAAAAAGAAGAGGACTGGCATGGATGTTAGCTCAGGGCTGATCTTCCTCACAAAAAAAATAAATAAATAAAGCAAGTTAAAATCAGTGGTTGCTACATATGGGAATAATTGAACATTTAATTTTCTGTACACAAACGGTCTTGCTCCAGCTAAGAATTCAGGATCCAGAGAATTCTGGAACATGCAGCAGGATGAAAGCCTAGATCCCATGCCACTTAAGTAAACTTTCCAGTCTTTTATTAACAGCTGAGCAAACCTCTGGACAAAATCCTTGAGAGGTGCTTAGAATCAGTCCTTCCTTTATATATAGAAGGTTCTCAAAACTGTCTAATTAAAGATCTTCAGAAATTACCTCCAGTTAAATAGAGGGGAAAAAATGATACAAAACCAAAGCTGGACTCTTGCACAGTACACTATTTCTACCTAGTGCAATTTCTAGTTTATTAAAAGTCAGGTGATCTGACAGCACAATCTTTGCAAAGCATTTGTAATAACGAGCTGTTTCTTGCCATCCATATTTATTGACTTTCAATACTTATTTCAAGTGACTGAGTCACCTCTGTGTTTGTGGGAAAAAAGCAGGGTATAAATCAATTAATCAATGAGAAAAATTTCTAACGGCTGACTTGAATCACAAACCCATCTCAGAGTCTGAGTAAATCTCTGAAACGAAGAAAGTACTTCACTCCCCTTCGGCTACCCCCATCAACTCTTGTGGCTAAATGAAATGAGTAAATGGAAGCCTAATATTGCGGCCACTAAGTAGCTCAACAGCCTGGAAGTAACTTGGTGTTTCTTGGAAGAGATGAATCTAATGATGAACTTAAAGAAAACAAACCAAAACAAAGCTCTCCACTCACAGCTAGATAGATAGGGAGGCATTATTGGGTACGAAATCAGGAAATTAGGAAATACTTACAATCAGTATAAACGTGCCCAAGAACTCAGAGAGCGTTTCTTTAGCTAAGCTGCTCTTCAAGACCAATCTCTGCTTGAAGCTTTTCCCCTGTTGTCTCTTCTCAGGCTGCATCTCGGGGCTTCTTCAAGGACCACTCTTCCCACCAATATCTGCTGCTTCTGGTCCCTACCTCACTGGCAAGTGAAGACAGAAGTTTTGACAGCTGCACGCAGATTCCTGGAGATGGCTAGTAAGGTGCTCTGACTGTGCAAATGCTGTCCTGATTAGAGCCTGTGACTTAATCCTCTTCCGGTGAAATTGTCATTCCCTGTTCACTGCTGTTTATCTGAATTATGGAGTTAGAACCTGAAATCCCCAAAACGGTCCTTTTTGTGCCTGGTGGATTAATCATTACCTTTATTCTCAAGGTATTTTTTCTCTGTTGGGTTTTTTTTTTTTCCAAGAGATGAGAAAAGAAATGTTGTGCTGGTTGTGTTGCCAAACCACAGCGATGGGCTCCAGTCCAGAAGAGATTTACATGTTACACAATTGCAGGCTTCTGATTTTTTTTTTCCCCTATTCGGAAGTGGGCGGTTGGGGTGTAGTTTGGAACTGTCAAACAAGGTGTATATACACTGAGTGTAAATATTCTTTACTGAAGGAGCTTTTCATGCAAATTGGAAAACATGAAGAGAATATAGATGTGCTGCTCTGCAAAATTAATCACTCTTGTTTTCCTCCAATATCATTTCAGTGATTTGATGATGCCTTCCTGATGGTGGTAAGAACCACAGTGCACATTCCAGAGATAGAGAAATTAACATACAGAGAGACCATTGCAAGTTTCACATTGGAATTCTGTAGGACAGAATGGGATCTCCTCCTCAGTTACTGAAGCTGGGCTTCATCTACTGAGAATAGTTTGGGATCCAAGAATCAGAAAGATAGGGAAAGCAACTTGTTGACTTTCTTCTGAAAAAGGATTCCAGTTTGAAAACCAAGTTACCCCCCTTCATTTACCATGAAATATTTAGGCAAAATACACAGAAAATAAACAATAGCAGCTTGAAAGTCTATACCACTTAGAGATCCTTGAGCCAGAAATAGATCAGTCTGAGTCTATGCCACCCCAATTAAACAAGAAAGGAGGTAAATACACCTAAACAAGGCTCCTAGTTATGCCATTTAAGATGAATTAACATCCTCACAGGCAACAAACTGGGTTCAGGACTAGCTTCTTATCATGTCAAATAGTCAAGCCTTGTTTTTCAAAACTAGTTTGTCTAAGAAATAGAATCCAGCAGTTGTTTTTGAATACCTTTTCAGGAGGCGGGCGGTCATTTCTAGGTGAGGAGGCAGGCAGGAAAGGAGGGAGGAGAGGTCTGGAGAAACAGCTGTTGAGAGTCCATGGGCGAGAGGAGATACCTGATCTGTAGGTGAAATACAGAGTTTAAGGCTAAAGAAGTTGTCACTTGCTTGAGGACACATCATTGCAGAGCCAAGACAAGAATGCAGTATTTTGGCTTTAATGCCTGGTTAAGTTATCATGGATACCATTGTCTTGAAGAGTTACTTATGACCACATGATTCCCAAGTCCCAGTGGGTGGACCAGAGAAACAGGACTTTATTGCTGTGACTACAATAAATACCACACAAGGGTGTTCTTTGGGCTCTTCATTCACTCATCTAACAAATATTTATGGCATACTCATTATGTGCCAAACACTGCACTTAGCAAAAGCACAGAGTGTTCTTGTCCTTCCTAGAGTTTAGAGTCTCATAAGAGAGACAGACATGAGTGAAACAATCATGCACACAAACATGAAATCACAATTGAGATGCATGCTTTAAAGACGGGGGACATATTTCTATGAGTGAATATAACAGGGGGATTTCACCTTGTCAGAGAGATCTCTGATGGTTTCTCCAAGGAAATCATGCCTGCACTGAGATCAGAGGAAGTGTAGGGTTAACTACATGAAGTGGGGAAGGAGGTGCATGGAGAAATGCCTTGGGGGTGGGTGTGGGAAGAGTATGATGCTTATTCAAGAATGAAAGAAGCCCACTGTGGCTGCCTCCCAGAGAGAGTGAAGGAGCACAGCACAAAATGATACCGGAGCCGTGGGGAGGGATCAGATCATATTGAACCTTGTGAATCGTGTTTAGGATTAAAAGCAATCATAAGTCACTGAGGTGGTTTAAGCAAGAACAAGACACCACCAGATTTGAGTTTTAAAAAGATCATCCTGGCTGTGAGGTAGAAAGGGGATTGGAGGGGGCCTAAAGTGGGCATAGATAGACCCATTGGGGGATATTACTGAATTCCGGGACTGGTGGTGGCTTTGACAATGAGAAAAATGGAAGAATTCAAGAGTTCTTTGTGTCTTAAAATTGGAAGGACCTAGTGGACTGCATATGTAGGATGAGGAAAAGGGAATCATCAAGGTTGATTGCTGGGTTCCTGGCGTATTGGGGAAGGAGATGCTAAGCACTGGGAGAGGAAAGTCTGGAAGAGGACCAGAGTCACAGTGGACATCATGAATTCTGCCAGTGCAGGTTGAGCCTCAGGGGCTCTCTGGTGCTTCTGAGAGATGTCAGGTAGGAAATGATATGGGTCTGGATTCAGAGGAAAGGTCCATGTGCTCAAAGAGGTGATAATTGAAGCCACGAATAAAGATGAGGTTACCTAGGGGGAGAGTTTGAAGAGAGCAGAGGCTGAGCTTTTGGTACTGACTATTTCCTGCCCTGGTAGAGGTGAAGGAAATCTTTATTATTTCTTTTATTCTACCTTCAGATGACAGTCACACTTTTCACCTCCATCGCCATGAATAACTTGTCATCAAACATAACTCACTGACACTCCCCAGCCAGCCACCAAAAAAAATATTCAAAAGCACCCAGAGAAGGTAAGCGATGAATAACATCTCTTCTCCATCTGGGAAGAGATCTTTGCAAAGCACCCTTGTGTCAATGTTCCAATTGATAGTGTGGGGCTTCTTAGTTTCTTTCATTCATTCATCCAGAAAAACATTTTATTGGGTATTTACTACATATTGGACACAGCATTAAGCAGTAGGAATTCAAAAATGAGGAAGAAAGATCTCTACTGTTAAGAAATAATATAGTCTATGTGAGAAAGACCTCCAAGTGAATACATCATGTAGTAAAATAGAGGTATATGCAAAGTACTGAGCCAAAATTCCAGCTATCACCACATGGACATCTGAGAGGTCACTGCACATTGCCAACATATTGACTCATCCTGCCACCAACAGTTCTAAAATTGTGCTCCCCTTGATGCAGTGCCATGCTGAATCTCCAGAGCTAGCCTACCCGGCTCTTACAGTTCCCCTTACTCTGTCTCTCCCTGACCCTAACATTCTCTTCTTCTTTATCTGGTTTTGCCTTGAGTAACCATCTTTGTCTCCACTCATGGGAATCAACAAGTCTGGTGTTCATAAAGGTAACCATCTCACACTGTGATCTCACTTCCCCAGCCTCTTCTGCTTTGGCCAACTTGATGTCCACCCTAGTTCAGAAGCCCCTTTGATGGCCATTGTTGAGACTGTGTGTCACCATCTCCACTTTCAAAGTCCTTTCCACCAAGGCACATCTCACTGACTAAAATTTCCAATTCTCCCATTTCATCCCATCTCTGACTTTCACAAATTTGCTTTACAACTTCCTCATAAATTCCAGTTCCCCAACTCCTCCCTTTCCACCGAGTTCTTGCCTTGTGATTACGCAGGTTGATGATGCACTTATCAGCTTCTCAGGTTCCATTGACCCAGTGACTTTCTTCTACACTCACATTACCAAAGCCCAACTCTGGGTATACCTAGCCATCTATTTTTCTCAAGTATTCTCTTCCCAAACTGTTGAATGATGCCTGAGAAATTGTAAATGTATTGATTGATCCTATTTCAGATCATCATGATCTAGCATCAGTAGTGGCCCCATATCTTTAGTTAATCTTTTATTTCAAAAGTTCAAAGTTTCCAGATTTTATTGTGCATTAGGATCACCCACCTTCAGAGACTATGATTTGGTAGATCTGGGATGGATCCCAGGAATCTCACAAGCATATCTGATAATTCAGATACCATGCCCTATTTCATTCTATGCAGCAGCAGTATAGCGCTTCTATGCCCCTCCAGCTCCTAGTCACAACTCTTCTACTCAGCTGATGATCTTTTGTCCCAATCCATTGGTAAAACAAATGGGTTCATTGGCTATAATACCTTTTGCCTCTCCTCCTCAAAAAGTTGCCCTAACTTTATTTATGTTGTTCTCCTTTCCTTTCCTTACTGTTCTAGTCCCTCTGGGATCCTGGCTGATTAATGTTCTCCTCACCCTCTCAATCTCTTCCCCCTGCTTGGCTTCTTTCCCAGGGCTACGAACAAACTTAGGTCTTATCTATCCTGAAAAACATTCGTTCAAAGTTCCACCTCAAATTCCATTGTCTTAGTCAACTCAGGCTACTGTAATAAGACCCATAGACTAGGTGGCTTAAATAACAAACATTTAAGTCTCACAGTTCTGCCTGGAACTGTGAGAGGCTGGAAGTCTGAGATTAGGATTCCAGTATGGTCGAGTGAGGGTGAGGGCCCACTTCCTGGCTTGTAGACAGCCACCTTCTCGCTGTATCCTCACATGGCTAAGAGAGAGTTCTGGTCTCTTTATCCCCTTTTAAGGGCACCAGTCCCATCATGGGGACTCCACCCCCATGACTTCATTCAAAACCAATTTCCCCCCAAAGGCCCTGCCTTCAAACACCCCCACATTGGGAATTAGGGCCTCAACAAATGAATTTGTGGGGGACACAAACATTCAGTTCATAGCAACCATTTCATCTCTCTCCTCCACCTTCTTTCTTTTCCATTTGAGGAAGAAATAACCACTTTCTCTTGAGCATAAAATCATATTAAATTGAAAAAAGTAAAAATAATTCAGAAGTATATAAATTAAAACATAAAAATTTCTCATAATCCCAGCCCTCAGAGATAACCACTATTAACAGGTTGGAATATATCCCTCCAGAATTTTTTTCAGTAGATCTAGATCTATTATGATCTGAAAGTGGGACTGTATTATATATACTAGATTAAAGTGTTTTTTCCACTTAAAATATTCTGTTCATCTTTCTATGCCAATGTATAACTCATCTTTTTAATGACTGCATAATATTCCATTGTGCAAATGTGTCATAATTTAAAGTTCCTTTTGATAGACAGTTGGTCGTTTCCAATTTTCCCCATTAAATGAACATCCATATGTATATACTTGTTTCTCTCTTAACACAACTGTCTAGAAGTTGAATTACTGTCAAAGAATATGCATATATAAAGTGTTTTATAAGTACTTATTTCTCCCATTCTCTTCAATACTGGTAATGTAAATCCTTTCAATCTTTTCCCAATATAACAATTCAAAAATAATATTGTTTTAGCATGCATTCCTTTGGTTAATGGTGAGATTGACCATCTTTCATATGTTAGCTATTTGTATTTAGTCTTT